TTTGAGATCTTGAGAATCTGAGCAAATGAAAGAAAACATCTAGTAGAATGGGAAAGTAAAGTTGGGACTTTTTTTCATTTAAAGCAAGGCTGGGTAACTTCTTCCAAACCCTTCTGGAAAGAAATCTACAAATATGGCAAATAATAGATGTATTCAGATGTGTGAATTGCCATTTAAATGTTATTTTAGGACTTCCCAGGCTCACTTAAGGCCTGAAATCCTATTTTAGAAGTGGGAAGAGACTGGAAGGAGGTTTCACAATGTGGGAGTTAATAAATTTGGTTTGGTTTTGATATTCATCAAGCTGCTTTGTCAGTCTGGGAGAAAATGTTGATCTCATTCCCATGTCAATTGAGAATGGAGGGAATAAGCTCAAGCATTGCTATTTTGTGAGGGTCTTTTAAAAATATTAATAATAATAACCTACCTACCTCCTATCTTTTCTGTATCTCATTTCCACTCAATGTGTAGACCAGGACTAACTTTTAAAGCTTATCCAATTATTATAACTGAAACATACTTCGCTGTTAAACCATGAGGTTGCCATGCTTGGAAGGATAAAGCCATTTTAAATGTTTCATTTTGAGAGGATTTTGTGTCCAAATAGAAAATCAAGAAGAACTTGTTTCCCCTTTATTTGACCTGATTCTGCCCAGGGTTGGGTCTTTTCCCACACCTACTCTAAATGTAAATCTAGCTTTGGAGGATTTTTCACATTGGAGGGAAGTCAGCTTTCTTTTTTATTCCTTTGACAATAACAGGGTTTTCTTTTTATTAACATTAGGCTCAAACATCTAATGTGTTACTAAATTGTGCTCTTACAGTAGGTTGATCTAAAAGATGTAGTTCAAACTGTAATCAACTGAGAAAGAGAATGAGATTGGAGAAAGAAGAAAAATGACTTGATCCTGGAATAAGTGACATTCATTTCACCCACCAAAATCCATTCAGTAGCAGGAGTCAATGCTTCTTTTAGGTTCTACTGAGAGAGGAAACCTAAGGAAACATCCATTCTATCTACTTTCTCCACCGTGCTGCCACTTCTGACCTTTTTGAACACCTAGATGGAAAAATGGCAGCAACAACCAAGGACAGCTGGCTTCCTGAGGCAACACTGGCACTTTCCCCTCAGTGCGAAGTGATCTTCAGCTTATCTATGGGTCATATCAAAATCCATCAGTTTGGTCAAAAAAAAAACCGCCCTTCACAGATACCTGCAGTCAACTTATACACAAGTATATTATATCTTCAGAATAATGACAACATACCAGCAGTCCATGGTCAAATTTAAGGGATGCTTAAACAGGTGTGATGCTGTTTTGGACCAAGAGCTATCCACATCTATACTTTGAACACCATCCCAGAGTAATTCTCAGTATGACATATCTTAATTTGACTGAAATAGAGACATCCTAACTCACAACATCAAGGGCATTTAAATTTCAGCTTGCAAGGTACACACTGGGTCTCGCTCTCCATTTTTGTGAATTGCAAGCGCTTGAGAAGCCCTTTCTTTTCTCATCTCTTGAAAATAATGCAAAAACGTATGTTTTTCTTTTACAGTTTTGAGTTAAAACAGGGCATAGGGTCCCTAAAACAGTCCTGATTCAGACATCTATAGTTTTTGTTGTTGTTGTTACTTGGGTTTAAAAAATGTTGCTAAATAAAAGTACAGTAGATGAATAAAGAAATGCTGGAAAGTAACAAAATGTAAGGGTTGGAAACACAATTTTTTTACACTGTATATGGTATGTAGACTTCATGTTGCCAGGTGATGTATGGCAAGCCCATAGATTTCATAGGGTTTCCTAGTAAGTAATGAATGCTCAGAGGTGATTTCTCTGAAATGTAGCCTGCAGCACTTAGTATTTATTGGCTGTTTCCCATCCAAGTATTAACCAGAGCTGACCCTGCTTTGCTTCCAAGACGAGAGGAGGTCTGGTTCTTTTAGGTATTTTGGCAAGCTGATTTTCATTTGACTCCTTAAATATGTTGGCAGGCCAAAAGGTGATGCTGCCAAGTTATATATAAAGTTACATGAAAAATTTGTCTGTTCCTACTTAACCCTTTTATGGTTTTTTTTTTTAAAAAAAGAGACACATCAGTAAGGTCTAAGTTTGCATTTGCATCTTAAATAACATTGCCCCAGTTATATCAGGCATTGCATATTAATTTTACATTTTTGCAAAGCAGTTAAAATAAATGGTTGTATGGATTAGCACAGCTAGACAAAGTCAGCTTCTGATGTGTTATTGAAATATTGCCTGCATGAGCAATTTGCAGTCAGAGGGCAGAAATAATTCTAATGAGGTCAATTAGCATTTGGAGTTCTTTTTAGTAGCCTTAATTAAGCACAACCTTACAGCAAGGACATGTGTGCCCCTCCCCCGCCATGCATACACTGTTTTGAGTTAACGTGGTGTTTCTGAGGGCTAACTGACAGAGTTCGTTCCATGTTTCTACCGAAGATTCCTCCCCTTTTCACTGTTTGTAGTCCAGACAAAGAAACCAACAAAACAGCACAATAGTGCACCCTAGTAAGCCATTGATTTATGAGAGACACAGTGCAGACCTCTCCATCATCTAGCCTTCTACTATCAATATACCCCAAAGTCATATTAATGCAAATTCAAGTTGGTGCAGTTTTCCATCTTTTTTTTACACATTTGAAGGAAATTCAGCTCTAAAGTCTCTTATTTGGACAGAGATTTTTTCTCTCTGTGTGTATAGGCCTTACTTTGCTTTCAGCATCTTCACTGACTCTTAAAAGGAGCAAACTCATTAAATAAATCACCAAAATTTAAAAAAGCAAGCACAGTGTGACTTTTAACCAATCCAATTGGTTTGGTTTCAAAGGTCTATGGGAAATATCTTCAAGGAACACTGCCCCCCCCCCCCCAATAACAGATTTGATGCAGCTAGAATCCTAATGAGTATGTTGTCTCATATAATGTTGGTTTTACATTCACCAGGAGTGGAAGTACTATCTGTAGTTCTATGGTCATGAACACACCATAATTGTTGAGATCTAGACTTGCTAAGACTGCAGGGATCAAAGAGGATGACTTGCCTCAGCCAGGGCTCCTGGGGAGCTTTCTTCTGCCTTGGCAGGCAATTCTATTGAAGCTCTTGTTGACCTGAGGAATGGAGAGATGGAAGACAAAATCACTCCTAAGCATGCCTTCTCACACAATAAATCCCAAACTAGTCCCCTGGTTTGTCCCCTTGTCTCCAGTGATTAAATAAGGACAAGGCCACTGGAGTAACATAAGCAGAAAACCTAGAATAGGGCCAATCAAATACAAGCAAGAGCCTCTCTGAGGGCCTACTCTGTGGCAATGCAGGCAGCACAAAATATTTCCACCCTGCCCCCATTGCATCAGAAAAAGCCATTAAAATGTTTCAAGTGATATGCAAAGGAAAATCCTGAACTCTCAACAGCCATTTATGAACAACTTGTCCAAAACTTTCCAGATAAAATCAATCAAGTCAGCTCCAGTGTAGAAGCTATAATTAATACAGAATCAGTAGGTATAACTTTGCCTGCCAAGTGATAATAGTTGTATTTCAATTTGAACAAGTTAAGGGTATGGATAGAATTTTTGGAGTGGTGAGAATTACTACATGGATATTACACCCTTGCCATTTCTGTGATTTTAATATTTTTACTAGGATGATTTTAATGCTTTGTCTGAATGTTTAAATTTTATTTATGTCTCATGATTAATGGTTTTAATGATTTTAAGTCAAAGTTATATGTAGTGATTAGTTATTATCATTTCTTTGTGTTACTGTGTATTGGCATTGAATTTTTGCCATTAATATGTTGTAAACTGCCTTGAGTCCCCCCACGGGTGAGAAAGATGGTATATAAATACAGTAAATAAAAATAAATAAATACATTTCTGACTTAATGAAAAAGCCAAAGGGAAACTAGCTAAGTGGGTAGAGAGAATGGGTCAGTGTCTTGCTAAAATAAAAAAGTTCCCTCCTGCCTAAAGCCAGAAGTTATAAGAGTATTACTGAAACACTCTTCCCTGGAACCCACTGTATTGGTTAACTACCAGTCAGGTTCCAATTTTCCAGTATTGGACAAGGTACTAAAACATTTGTGGCCATCCATCTCCAGGAGTTTCTGGGTTGGGTGAGGGAGATTATCTAGATCAATTTCTGTCAGGTTTCATGGAAGTAGGGCTTTCCAATGGCTCTTGAATCTTCTTCCTAAGGAAGATAGACTGGTATCCTCCTTGCTATGTCTACATAGTCAGGTGAAAACATCTGCAGGCCTTTGACAAGTGGCTGCTCAGAGGAAAATTTGCAAGCCACCAAATTTGCAAGCCTTTGGGCTGAGAAAGGCGCAATAGAAATATCGTAAATAAAAGAGCTCTTTCATGGGGCGAGTTGTTTATATTTCTTTTCTTTAAAATAGTTATGCTTTTACCTGCTTTCAGTTTTATTGATCTTTTATTTATATTTTTAGCTGTACGTCTTTTAATTTTTGTAAGTCATTTTGAGTCATGGATATAGAGAAAGCCTAACCATCATCATCATCCATAGTTGTAAATCCAATGGTTGGACATTATAGAAATGGGAAGGAGCATTTCCCCTTCCTAAGTAGAGCTACTCTGAATTATTATTTAGGCTGGAGCTGATTTCTGATTGGCAAAGAGGGCTTCAGGGAAGAGGGAAGGAGGACAGCCAGTTGTGCCACCGGAGCACCTGAATAATATTGAATTTAGGTTATTGAAATAGCTCGAATACCTTAATTGAATGAGGTCAGTCAGCACACAGAAACCAAACTGTGTGCAGACTGTGATCATATATGTGCAAATGGATGCATATTTGCATCAGTGTATACACCCTTTCTTATTAAAGTAGCTGGATGTATTGCATGAGGTAGACAGGAATGTGCACGTTCATTGTGATTACAGCTAACTTGTCCAGATTGTTTCTGCATTTCTCAAACTAAGCAATTACTGTGATCAAAATATTAATTTCAGGTATCTGGAAGGAAATCATTTATCTGTTGTACCGAAGGAACTCTCCATGTTCAGACACTTAACACTGATGTAAGTATCTTCACTTTGATTCCAGTACAAGAGTAGTGCAGCTACTTTTCCAGGATATCACTGCATGTTGCTGTATAGCTATGACTATGAGGAACAGAGATAGATTACTTTTGCTCAGCGAATGTGGAAGTATTGTTCACATAGCAGGACGTGTTTTTGCTAAACAAAACTCCTGTACGCAACCTAACCTTTAAATGAATCTCATTCACAATAACAATGTGACCCAGGGAAATACATAGGGATGGGGCTGCACAACCACCCATGCATTATTCCATGACAACACCCACTGTGCAGCATTTACTTGCTGTTAGTAGCCAGGGTTATTCTGGATTCATTCCATCAGAGAAAGAATGTGCTGCTATAAAACCACCTTCGTTGGGTTTTGGCTCTCCTCCATCTGCCATTGTATAGATTACAGAAGAAGGGAAAGTAGGAAGAATAGTTTCACTACAAATCTTCAAATAATCACACCTGCCAGAGTTAAACTTACAACGTGGAGTGCTGATTTCTTCTAAGGCAAGATAAATCCTGGAAATAAATAAGTGCAATATTGTTGGAGAATCAACTTGAATTTGATTGAACTCTGAGATAATTCTTGTTCTTGTTCTCTTTGTATCTATGACCTTTATTAATGTTTAATTTTTTCCCCCAGTGACTTAAGCAACAACAGCATCAGTGTTTTGGCCAATTATACCTTCAGTAACATGACACAGCTATCAACACTGTAAGTAGTCAGTGGTACTGGCATTGGCTCTCATCGCTATTCAGTGTGAGGTTTAGTTGAATTTCAGAGAGAGCATTTCTTCATTTTTGAATTTGCTGTTCAGTGTGTCAGCCGCAAAGTAACACAAACTGTATTCTTTTATTCTCCTAGGATCCTCAGCTACAACAGGCTACGGTGTATCCCAGTCCATGCATTCAATGGCCTTAAATCTCTCAGGGTGCTGTAAGTATCACTTACTCACTGTTGTGGGAGGTAAATCTGAGGTCACTAGTGACCGCGGGATTTTTAATGAGCAGATTGCTTTTGCTTGACTCACTGCATTGCACACATTTCAAAACAATTTGCTACAGTGGACTTATACTGAGATGTGAAATAGCCTGGTGTATAACCACTGGTCCAAATGATTATTGGGGGTTATTTCTATTCCTTATGAGCTTTTAATTTATTTTAATTTGGCCTTTAAAATACATTGATTTAGAACTATGGAAATGAAAGCTACTGATAAGAGTCCTGGTTATTATATGTGTTTGTGTCTTTTCTAGCAGGATGCATAGTAACCATTATATGGATAATACTCTCTCATTGTGGCAAAAGCTGAGATGTATACATAAAGATGATGGATTTTGGTTTCCTTCATTGGTTATGGATACCTGACTAGAATGTTGAGAATAAACTATAGCTAATAGCTTGTCCATATTTGCAGGAGCTTCCTGACAATTATTTGTGTGACATCCTCCCATTTACCAAGTGCAGGGTTCAAGGTGGTATTTATTCTGCAAATAATCAGGTGGATCTTTAGATGTAAAACTTATTAGAAGCACATGGGCTTCCTCTCTTTTTCTCCTCATGCAGTAGACCGCATACCAGTCTGAGATAACAAAATCTATGCCCAACATGTGAGAGAGGGGGCAAAGTGGTTGAGTAACCTTTTGGAGACTCATGTGAGTTATAAGATGACAGTTTGTGAAGTTAATAATCTGCAGAGTTTGTAAAGGACAATTTCGCACATCATGAGTTCCAACAGAAATGTTAATTCCATAACGACACTTGCCCAATCCATTGGGTGGTGTTATTTAGAAGATATTTCACTATCTTTAGTGATTGATGAGTTTTTGTTCATAATTAGTGATTGATGATTTTTTTTGTTCATAATTGAGCAAGTGCTATGTTGTGGCCAAATCAATATTACCTGAATACCCACAGTACCATGAAAAAAGTGATAAATAAGTAAGGGTTGGTTTTTTTAAAATTCCAGATGTTGGCTCCTTACCTAATTCAAAGACTGGCTTTATCCTATCTTGGAATGCCTCTTATTCTGAGTGAGATAACATGATGCTCTTTCAGTCTTGTGCTGAAGGGAAATGAAGCATGAATGAGTATTTCTCTTTCGGTGTTTTGGGAAACCTCCAGATTGATTTGATTTATTATGGTCTACAAAATTCTGGTGTCAGCAACAACTCTCACCACATGTCATCTACGTTGTTATTAAAAATCAATTCCCCTGAGGGAGAAAAGTGCTTCCGAGCGACAGCATACAATCTGTTAGTGTCACTTATTTATTGTCAAGGTTCCCAAGAGAACCTCGGTAAGAAATAATCGGCAAAAGAAATTCGACATTTTCAGGTTTCTTTTACAGAGAGGACACATAACTTGTTGTCCATCTGGATTAGACGTGCAGGTAGCCAGTCCCTTCCATGCATGAGCCACTCCTTTCTTAATTGTTTTGTTTGTCAAGAAACATGGTCTGTCAATATTAAATAGGAACTTATCCTGTCAGAATGCACACCTTAAAATTTAATTTAATTTAGGTGTCACATCCCCTAGCACATCTTCATCTGTAACATTTTAAGGTAATTTTTAAAACACATGTAGCTAAGGATGTGGGCATACCAGACAAAATATGTATTGCAAAGCAATACTAATAAAAATTGTACAGAACTCTTTGTATGGAGTTTGGACTTTATGCAGTGTGTAAGGTTTTCCACAACTTCAGAGTTGGTTGTCTGTCCTCTGCAATAGCACAATGAAATTTTCCAAGTGCAAGGACTAGAGTCTTTCAAGCTTAGTCAGTTTGCCTTGTGGATTTGTATAACTTAAAACACAATGCTGTATAATATAGAGAAAAGCACAAACCATCAATGTCACCTGTAACTGTTTTGAATATATATTTGCTATGTGTATGTACTAAATGTTCAGCATATAACCAAATGCATTGTCAAATGCACTATGTTTACTTCAAATGAACTTAATTGTGAATTGTTCTTGTTGCAATATATTAAACTTGAGACTTTCTTGTCTCTCCAGTTTCAGTGAGAGCTAGCTAGCTAAAGGCAGTGCAACCCTAGTTCAGAGATGAGCCCATTGCAGGGCTCAGAAATCTCTGCCTGCTAAGAAGAACACTTTTATGCCAATTGATGTCATAGGTCTGTTGATAGAACTCTTTGTCAAAAGAAAAATGGACAAAGAATAGTCAGAAACCAGGTTGTGCCACATCCAAATTTCCTCCAGTCCAAGGATGCACTGGGCCAGGATGAGGGTAATTTGTAAGAAAGTAATTTTTAATGTCCTAAATAATCTCCAAAACCCTTAGCGTGAACCTTGTCTGGATTCTGGACAAATTCAGTTTGCCCAGTGTCAACTTGGCTAGGCAATAGACATTTTGACCATTTGGGATTGCAGTGAATTCAACCCACTTATGATATAGTGTCAGAGTCATCGACATGTGTTCCATTTCCTCTGGAGATCCAAAGTCACGTAAAACAGAAAAGAATATTGCCAACAAATGCTGAAGGCTAATCTTTTAACAGAAATTAATTTGTTCTACATTTTACATCTTGAAATCATGGAGTTGGAGTAGTCAAACAGTCCAACCCCATTCTACCATGCAGAAACACACAATCAAAACAGTCTCGACCAATGGCCACCCAGCTTTTGCATAAAAACTTCCAGAGAAGGAGACGCCATCGGGCTCCAAAGCAATATATCCCACAGTCAAATAGTTCTCACCATCAGGAGGTCTTCATACTGTTCAGGTGGTATCTCTTTTTCTGCATTTTGAATCCATTGCACCATTTCTTAGTCCAGAGCAAACAACAAGCTTGCTCCATCCTGGCATCATTAAGAATTAGATTGCGCTTCCTGTAAATAAAACTCAACTGGTAACTTTTTATTACTTTTAAAAGGTTAAAGTGCTTGATATATTTTTCTTCCTGTATTTTCAGTAACAATATTTAAACTTCCTTTTTAGATCAAACTTCAGATAAATAATTCTTTCCTGCTCTGAACTAGGTTCAAAACATTGTAATTATTATCTCACATGACCAAATTATCTCAGATAGTGAAATATGGTTTTAGTATATTGTTCTTCAAAGAAAAACAATGCAGACAAAATGAAACAATATCCTAGATTTAGCCTTTTTTCATGTATAAACAAATGTCAAACTTAAGAAAATAATAAATTTAAAAGAATATTGTTACCTTTACTTAAACAAGTTTCATATCTTGGCAAAAGCAAGAGAAGATTTTTATAACCCAAGCAATAGAGTGCTTTTGCCAAGATTTTCAGAACTAGAAGACACTGTGAATAAATAAATCTCATCTTAATAGTAACAGTTTAGCATCTATAAAGGGCTTCAGTCTGTGGCATCATTAGTCCACAAAGAATGGCTCAGCATTAAAAACCTGGACAGAATGCTTTCCTCTTCTTCTGAAAAATATTTATTGCTAGAAATAACAGCTAAAATGTTAAAAAAAATAATATCCTGTGACTTGATATCAGCAAGATAGCAAATCACAGGATTATGTGGTTATACAAGTTCCTGCTTCAGTCACAACCTGAAACTTTAGCTAGTTGTGACTAGTTTTCCGTTCTGAATTAAGTAATACCCCCAATTCTCTAGTGAACATAAATGCTTAATAAAGGTGAAATGCTATTCCAGAGGGCACAAATAACCTGTATTTTGCTTTCATTGTTTAAGTATGTTTGTGCCATGACAACATGTTATCTGTACCACAGTAACCTTTCTTGCAGTATAGTATCATTGTGGTCTTAGGAGAAGTTCCTACTTAGACAAATTCTTAGACTCTTTTAGGTGTTGAAACAAGTACATGATGCTGCTTACATCCTATTGTAAATGCAAGCCCATCAATCACCATAAGCTTTCATATAATATTCTCAAGTCCATGTAAATGCGTGTCTTTGTATTCTTGTGCAAGGCTGATTAAAGAAATCAGGCAACATGTGTGATTTCCCCATTCTAATAAAAAGCATATTTTAAAAGCCATGTTACTTTTCAAAATATGCTGCTTTGCATGGGATAGATTTTGAAAAATTGTTAAATACACTTCTGGCTCTCAACATGATATTAGGTGGGGGTTATTTTGATGTCATAATATTCTCTCTTCTCCTAGGACTCTTCATGGCAATGATATTTCCACCGTCCCCGAAGGGTCTTTTAACGATCTTATGTCACTTTCCCATCTGTAAGTATTATTGCTTTCAACAGGTTATAGATACTATACAAATTACTTTACTCAACTGATATAGCTATTTCATGCTGCAGTTCTTTGTTTATATACAATAAGACCCTTGGAAATCACTGGAGTTTGATTCCAAGATCCCCTGCTTATACTAATATCCATGGATGTTGAAGTCTCATTATATACAGTGACATTGTAAAATAGTGTTCTTCATAAAATAGCAAAATTGATATTTACATTTTGAATTTCTTTTAAGAAATATTTTAAGCTGTGGATGGTTGAATCTGTAGGGTGGACTATATTATACTTGTTCAAATTTCACTCCAAGAACAAATATGTAGGCTGTCTAGTTTAGTTGGATAGTATTTTGACATTTTTGGTAATTGATCTGAATAAGATTTTAATGGAAAAAATTAAAAGAATTTTCACTTTTCCATGTCTGATTTAAGTGCCAACATTTCAGCAGAATGTAAAACGAACCCCCCCCCCCCAAAAAAAAACCCCTCAGGTAGCATATTGAAAATATCCAGTTTGGTAAAAAAAAATATGCAAGCCATTGTTTGATTCCATTAGGTTATCTGTTTTGTCTAGGGCTGGAAAAAGATGTTTATTTTTGGTGCTATAATCCCCAATATGTTTTGTTGCCATCTGTGGATCCTGGGAGATACGTTCAAAAAGGATTTTTTAAAGTTTTAATGTTCTACCTTCCTTCTAGAATAGGCATGTGGCCCAGGACACCCCTTTTTGTGTGTAACTTGATTGTGCTGTTCTTGAGTGCAAACTTTGTAGATGACAATAGAAAGGAATGGAATAAACAGAGCATGTTATGCCTATGAATATTGGAGTATTATCTGTAATTTGCATTATAATTGCAAACAGTTCAGCCAGAAAACCTGCTTGATGGTTTTAAAAGAGCCTTCAAACAGGGCAGCATTTAATTAGGATTATTATGTGAGGAACTTTTTGTTTTTGCATAGCTGTGGTGGCGGATATTTCTTTGCTCATCAATTATCATTGGTGTTCTCATTTTTATGTGTCGCCCAAGACACATAAAAAGACAAACTCAATTAAAATTGAAAGAACTCAAATAAAATTTGAATGGACTCAAATAAAATTCAAAAGCTTCCACTCAGGATGGGAAATCTGATGGCATGAAAAAACTCAAGCTCTCCAAAAATGTCACCCCGAAATAAATTTTGATCATAATAATAACCACTACCTATACGTGACCCCCCCCCCCCCTTTCAGGCTTTGGAGACTTTAGAGTATTATGTTCTATGAAAGAGGTTTCTTGATGAGCTCCTTGACCTTCATTCAACCCCCTTTGAATGTCATTCCAAATAAAAAGTAGCCCTAGCTGAGAAAGGTTTAGACTTTCTCCAAGTCATTCCTATAAGTAAAAAAGAAATGTTGAACAAGGACTGGATACTAACCATATGACTGTTTGGTCAAATGTAGTTTGCTGGTTGAAATGTTTTAAATCTAAGTTTTTACACAGATTGGTTTGGAAAACAGTAACTTAAGAGTTAAGGTGACATGTTTCAATGAGCATAAATGTTAGCATCACAAACATAGCATTTATACTTCCTTCAAAAGAAAAATGAGTCAAACTGACCAAAATCAAAATATTCAGAAATAGTGAAATTTAGTTGCCTGATCATGTAGTCAGTGTCGATTCCAAAAATAGAAATTGATTCATAACCCCTGGCTTCCTTAAGTTTGAATGTCATTTGTATCAGTGTAACAAATAAGAATGCAAAGCATTGTACTCTTGTCAATCTGTGTCATCTCTGAAACAGTTCTTATCTTCAAATTAATAAATGACATACACGAAATCTCCATTGTTCCATTTCACTGTTAATATGCTATATTTAATTAATCAAGATGTGTAATTAAATATGTATAGAATTCCAGATTTGAGTGAGTGAGTAAGTGTGTCCCTGCATCTTTACTAATAGATAATATTTGAAAGTCTGTATGAATTTATAACTGAAGTTATAAATTTGGCTCCTTTAAGGAAACATTGCTATTTCACTTATTTAATTTTGATGGATGAACCCCTGCCAGTAATTCAACTCATGAACTCTCAGCATGAATTTGTCTAGGGCAGAGATGTTTAATCAGTCATGTCTGTGGAATTATATCAACAACATTAGTGGAATTTCATCTGTCAGGATTTCATCTGTTATCCCTCACCACCCCAAATAAAGTTTTAGCTGGAACGATATTTTCAGAAATGATTTGTGTTATCTCTAATGAAAAAAGTCTCCATCCAAAATAATTTTCTTTTCCCCACTTTTTTCAGGGTAAACAATTTCTTACCTTTCTCTCTGGGGGCCAAACTCGACTTCATGTTTTTTCCTTCACAGGAACCAGTGCTAAGTACTCCTGTGGAGCGGAAATATAACGTCAAAACGAGCTTAAGAGCGCTGAGCTCATTGCATGTTGTCTTTAGAACATTGTCTTAAGTTATTATGCTTGGGTTTGCAAGGGTTTCTGTTCTAATTTATTCAAATTGTGTTACTCTGAAATCTTAAATAGTAGATGGTCTGAGAAAAATGTTATAATATTTTCATGATTATTTCTTAAGGCTTATCAACACTATGTCCGGTAATTAGGCATTCAGGTCCTGTTAACTCCCTTGGATTTTCCCTTAGAAATCAAAGGGAACACCATAATGAATATGTCCATCTATCAAGTACAGTACCATGAAGTTTTCAACATATAAAAACAAATGCTTTACCTGAAAAAGAGATAGAGATAGAAACAAATAATTCAATGAGAAGTGTTGCTTTGTTTAGGCTGCAATCTCTTATCCGTTTATAATCTGCACTGAACTCACTAGGACTTACTTTGGAACATATGTGGACTACAATCCAATACATTCTTTTCTACTCAGTGTTGTTTATTTCTTTGCATTTATTTACAGAGTTTCACTGCACAAAATAGGAAATATTAATTTCTAAACATAATTAATTATTCAACTGCTATCCAGTGAGAACATTATCAAGTTCACACAATCCCTTATTTGACATTACAAGGTTAAATCGGAGTATTTAAAATAATCTACCTGATCTTGTGATGGGATATGAATTGCTAATACACAACATTCATGACTTATGTGTTGTGGTAACAGAAAGGCAGGAACCCAATACTGTTTGGTAAAAAAGCAAAGCATGGAAAAGTACTATAAGAGGCCAGTTGTAATGCGCTGTTCTATCCCCTATAGAAAAATGGGAGCCATAGTGCTTACAGACTGTGTTTAGTCTAGGCAAGTTGCCAAATAGTGGAGGTTAAGAAACGGAAGGGAAAGGGAAAGACCTTGTGAACGGATTAATAGGCCTCAGTGTGAAATAGTGTTTTTCTCACCCTATTTCCCTGTATTCCTGGGGATCAGCCAATATCTTGAGATCCCCTTGGACATATATTCCTTGCATGAAAAAGAGAGCAAGTGTGTGTGAGAGAGAGTGTGGTTAATTTCTACCTCAGTTGTATGCATAAACCCAAGTGCAAGAAGGAAAACCTCCTTTTTGTAATGCTTTACGAATGATGACCTCTCTAATTTTAGAACATGGATAATCCTTTATACTGTTGCTTCTCAAATTGTAACTAATTGATTATCCATTTCCTTCTCTATATGTCAGGAACAAACACCATATTTGTGTCAATTGGGTTACATTTCTTTCTTTCTTTCTTTCTTTCTTTCTTTCTTTCTTTCTTTCCTGGAAATTTGCTGAAAATGAGTAGCCAATGGTTCGTGAGCCAGAAGTGGCCCACGGTCTAACAGTGTGGGTAGCATTTCTTTGTAATCTCCATAAAAATAAGAGAGTGAGTTGTTTTGATCATATGGTCTAACACTAGGCTTGAGGAAGGATGGGATAAACGGAAACTAAATGGCAATGCTGGCCAAATAGCATATTAGCAGTAAGACTTGGAGATTAGATACTTTTCCTCCAATCACATATAGGTATACCTCAGTTAATGACATAGACAAGCATCGAGGCTTTGCTTATTTAACAGCACTTTGGTACCAGAGATAGAAATAACATGGAAAGGACAGGAATAGAGTCCTACAGCTCCAAAAAGAAAAGCAAATCAGTATTTTTCAACAAACCTTTTATCAAAAGTAGTGTTAAGTATACAAGAACAGAAACAACCAGCTACAGTAGGATGACCTAAAGTAGAATCCCATTCTTTCCCAGCTCAAGCTTTATTTGGAGTATTTACTGCAGACCTGATGCTGCAACACAACACTAGAACTCTGCTTTATTCCTTTGTTAGCTGAGATATACATGTATATATGTGCAAATAACTGTGGTAAACTGTGGTAAAAAAGATAGTTTTAGGGACTCTCTGAACAACCACAGGGACTGAGTGTGTATATATTTAAACCCACAGAGCTCTTGGTACCAATCCTTTACACTGTGACTGCAACCTACGATGGCTGTCTGAGTGGGTAAAAGCCGGCTACAAAGAGCCAGGGATTGCGCGATGCAGCACTCCAGATGACATGACTGACAGGTTGTTGCTAACGACACCGACTCACCACTTCCAGTGCAAAGGTAGGTCTAGGCTCTTAATGGTTGCCATGCACACACATAGTTAAATTCAACACATATTTCCTGCCTTACAGCTGCCACCTAACCCAGTATAGCCTACTCTGTCGGAAGAGGACTGTGCAGAAATGGCAAGTCTTTCATAGCCTCTTCCACCTCATGCTTTTAACCAGATATTCAGGGGGTTGAATGTTGAAAGGTCTAGAATCATTATGTATGATTAATACATATGCTGAAGATTGGTATTTCCCAGGCATCATGGGCATCACTATCCTGAGGATTGTCACCTATTTGTAATACACCAAAACTGCACTGTAAGAATGGAACTCGCATCTGTGCCTCCAGAAACTACTATTTGGATAGGGGTCCTCTTCCACGCCCACCTGATGGGATACACCAGTAACTTTCAGCATGCTCAAACTGGCACAGTGTTGGTTCCAGCTACTATATTTGTCAGTTTTGAACAGGTATATTTTTTACAAGATTTGGCAGCTTTTGGAGAGTTAGAAGAAGTAAACTGCCATGTTTTCAGGTAGGTTTTCATGCAAACAAACAAACAAACAAACAAAAAGACCTGAAAATCAATCTGGATTTTTTTTTATTGGGATAGTCTCGTTCTTATTATTGAGCTGGCTGTTTTATCATTAAGAATTGGATTGTGAATGTTTGTCTTCCCTGAACTGAAGGATTTCGAGTTTACGCTCTTGTATGTTTTTCTCAACCATTATTGATTAAATGTTTTTAGGCAAAACAAAATTAGCTGTCATTGTTTTCTGTGGAAGTTTTTTTGTAAATGGAAAGCTACTAAGGCCTTCAGGCTTTGAAAACATTTGGCTTCCATGTCTATATGTGTTTCTATAGGCTGTCTTAACATCTATTCTTAGTTTGCAGATACACACAATAGGACATAATTGTACCATATGAACAGCCGCCTATGATTCAAAGAGTTTGCTCAGATTAAAACACACATATTTTTCAAATTGAACAATTCTCTTTTTTAACATCATAGGAGGTTTTCTTCTGTGTGTTTGTTTTGATGTATTTTTATGTTTTTCATTGTTTACATTTGCAGCCTTTTTAAAAAAAATCTGCCAAGAGGGGAAAATCATGTTGAAAGGAATCTGCTTACAATCTGTAAATAAGAAACACAGCACTCGAAATACTATACTGGAAAATAAATTTGCATAAGTGTCAGACCTAATAACAAGATGTGATCTACTTTGGTGAAGCTTTACAGCCGTTCAGTCATACCATACTGTTGCTATGCCTCATGAAGCCCTGAAGCTCTTCTTTGGTGGTTCTCATTATGCTGCAGAGGAAAAGATGAAGTGCTCAGATATTTATATTCTAGCTACTATAAAACAAGCCTTGTATCTACTGGCTGTTTCTTTGGCACTAGCACTTGTGGTCACCCCCCACCCCCTGCCGCTACTGCTAAACTACTGTGGCCCCAGAATTCCTGAACCCAGAAATATCATTTTGTGTTAAGGGCACAGAACTCTGGAGAACTCAAAGGGTTATAAAAGAATGAAGAGTGATACCAGTGAATGGGAGCCTGCTGTGCTATTTTCCACTACCTTCTAAGTTCTAGGTCAACAAGGAACTAGTACAAACCACCTTCTCCTTCAGCCTATGGTCATCTTGGCCTCTTAGAGGTGCCTTCTACTTCTAGATCAGAGTTCTATAGCAACATCATGACAATCAACATGTCATTTTCAAGGTTTTCTGAATGCAGTGTTGAAGCCTTTCAAAACTAATATTTGTCAGTATAATTAAGGATCTCTCCCTCATCTAAAAGTATTCCATTTCTCTATCTCACTGATCAGCATGGAGCCATTCACTTTACTGTTGAAAGACAATATGCAAAAGTTTCAGGTGGCTTGTAAAAGTCTCCATGCCCTACATTTCATATTTCAGTTCAGTATGAATTCAAATCAGCATCAAATCTATGCCTCCTTAGTTTTTTTTCCATTAAAAAATTCACTGTGGAAAAAATGGGAATTGCAAACAGTTCTAGGGTCAAATGGATATTTATGTTAATTCTCCCAATTGTCATGTTAGGATTATCACCTTGATGCTCACTGTGGAAGCAGCTACTGAATACTGTGTATTAGTGAAACAATAAGAAATGATTTAAATTTCAGCAGGTCTCTATCAACAGTGAATAACAATAGTTGTCATCTTGGTCTCTTGTCAGGGGCAGTCGATATCACTGTTGCATCCAGGTGTAATCCTTGCCTATCCAGTCCTTGTAAAAATAATGGGACTTGCAACAATGATCCAGTGGAGTTCTACCGATGCACTTGTCCATTTGGCTACAAGGTATGCTAACAGTTGTATGAATTTACATTGCCTGAGTATTGCTAATGTGACCATGGAAATTACTAACCTGCAGTAGAGCGTATCTGGAATATTATCTATAATGGCTTATCAGGAATATTTTCTAGGATGAGTGCAGAGATTCTCCGAGGAAGATAGAATACTTCCTAGGTCTCCCTGCTTTATTTCTTAATGACCAGCTACGAAAAATACTATTCTGGTCTGAACGGTGTAAGTATATTTCAGATATAATACCTTTCCCATCAATACCTGTTTTGCAGTCTTGAATTTATGGCAATCTAAAAGCATCAGTGCTTGTATATGTGCCTAATTCTGATGGCATAAATTGATGGGTGGGATAGATGCAGATCCTAGGGCTGGGCAGGGTAGAGGAAAGAACAGGATGCATGTACAAGAACAAATATTATAAGAGACATGGGAGAAAAAGTTTGCACGCAAGACTGCAGACATCTTCCCCACAGCTTTTTGAACAAAAGTGACATTTGACAAGTTCAAATGTGAACCATATGAAAGGAGAACTTTATACCAAGCTGTTCTCTACCAGAGTCATGCTAATTCAGTAACAATACCTTGCTTCCTTCTCACTAGCCATCAGCAAATACAGTTATCCATCTGGAAGCTATTTCCTTTACCTTGATAAATTGTCCTAAATGTGCCCTCTTAGTATTTGTTGTTCCTTTTTTGATGTGGATGTGAAAAAAAAATCTTGTATCAAAGAGTGAAATGTTAGATCACTGGGGTGGCAGGATCCTAATAACTGGGCAAGAGAATAGAAATAATTTAATTGATCGCACAGCAGCAGCACAACACAAAATGATTTCTTTATCTGGAGTGTATACCTCAGAATAATAGAAGCTCCAGGTTGCTCAGACATGTATATGTTGTCACAGATGAAAGGAGTCACTGACAGGACTGATCCTCGAGTGTTGAAGTCATTCAGGATCTAGTGAACAAAGACTTGGAGATATTGGTTTCAATTACGGCTAAGTAGTAGGTACATACCTTGGAAGTTTCCCTGCTCCTCAGTGGGTGTTTTTATGCTTAACTATACATAAAAGTGAAGAGGAAGAAGAGTAAAAGTGTTTAGACTTCATGGGGTTCTGATTTGCTACGTGCAGTTCTTTTACTAAAAACACATGTGAATATGCCTTTAGTAGTCCTATTTTCTGAGAGATGCTTTGACTGATTCTTGGAGGCCTCAGAGAGAGATCTTCATTAGTCCTGCTAGCCATTCCTTCTAGCTACCAAGAAACTGAATCTTGGGATTTTAAACAATGATTACGTTTTCTCCACTAACCACTCCATATATTGGGTGCCAGTCACTGTGCTAAGCTGACATTTAGGAGTGGCCTCTCAGATTATGTGAGAAGGAGCTGCTTTTGGGTGTAGGATACGCAAATACATTTTGCACAAGCGAAGCTTCTATGTTAATCCTCTTTATCAGTGCAAAAATATTTATATTCTTTGGAAACAGTGGTAGAAGCCACTTTTATTAAGCAGTGGATTGCTATTGTGGTAGTCCAACTGGCATTCAGTGGCAATTGTAAGACCCTCAGGCATGGTTTGCTAATATGATTTACAGATTATAGCTTCAGAGTCTCTTCACTTATGGTTCAATATGCAGATATATAACTCTCTATGACTTAATTACCTGTTACCTGTTATTTCACCTAATATCTTATTAGGTGAAATAAGATGTTATTTCATCTAACAGCTAATTAGCTGAATATATTGATAAACAAACATGTTTTTCTTACCTTCACCTTTGCATAGTCCAGCCCTGCACATGTTTTATTTGGAAATAGGAAAGAAATCCCCTTAAATTTAGCCTAAGTAATGGTTGTGTGATTGAAGATATAGGATTTTATTTATCTCTTCCTCTTTGATTTTAATAAAAAAATATAACTGTAATCTGCAATTGGAGCTGTCATGGAGTGGGGACAAAACAGCCCCAATCCTTTGAGTACACTTTGACTTCTAGAAGCAACTTCCATTGCTTTTTCTGGAAGCCACATTTTTGGTAGCTGAGACTTAACCTTGGTGTCTTTGACCTTCTTTCAGATCTTGATTATTCATCTCCCATTTGTTGTTTTGCCTTCTGACTGGCTATTCTGTTTCTTGACTTTGGACAGTTAGCGACTCAAAATAGCTGCAGTTTATAACTCAAAAAAGCTATTTATGACATAAATACTAGAAATACAAGCCATTTAAAACTTTGAAGATAATTAACAGGCACTTTGAATCCATCTACAAATACAATGTCAAACAGAATATTGGCCACTCCTGTGCTTTGATTGTCTAACTCACAGACACAACATTACTGGAATTCCTTGTGACTTGGCACTATGAATAACATACTATATAGAATAACACAATTATTATGGGAGTGGTAGGACTGCCCAAATGAACCTGCACAAAGCCCAGATATGTGATTCCAGGGCAATGAGCCTACAAGCTTTACTCCTTGCCTTGCTTTCTTAGTAGTGTTATTTTTGTTACCAACATGGGAACCCTACTACTGCTGCTATCATCATTCACAAAGCTTTTTCTGTCTTCCAAGTGGTGAACCATGGATGTAGTGAATTACACTAACATTTATAATAGACAGTGGATGATCATACTAAAGTAGGAAACCTTATGGACTTGTTTATAACAAGATGTTTTTACACTTATTTAGATTAAAACCAACTAAAATTAGTTGTAGTAAAAGCTTTGGGAAATGTATTTTTATTATATTGCTCATATATGTTATTTATCTTGGGAAATATTTGTATTGGCACACATTTCAATCACCTCTAAACTCTTCATAAACTCACTGTAACTCAATGACTATTAATATCTTTTTGCACAGAATGAAAAAGGTTTCACTCTTTCAAAGGCAGAGAACTAACAAGAGATATATTTTAGATTACATCATGGATTATATGCTCTCTTGGATAAACACTATTTGAAATTACAAAGATACTAACAAAGGAGATATGGAACAACCAACACAGCTTTGTCATGCTGATTCACTATAGCCAGACTGAGAGGTTGAGGAAAGCAGCTTTGGCTTCATATTTTCTTTTATAATAAATGGGATGGCATTGCTTAGACCTTCCTCAGATCTGTCTTTAAAAATGTGTCAGTCAGATGAAAGATACTTGGATGTGGCATTTTTACCCACTTTCACCATGCCCTGTTTTTCTCCGTTCTGTTGGTAGGACGTACCACATAGATTATCTTCTTTGACATATTAAAGTCAAAGTATACCTTTGCCAATGTACCTCTGCTCCCAGTGGTAAAGCAACACTAACTTTAAATGGTTGTCTTTTAAGAATATACTTCTCTTCATGACACTAAAGCTCTGCTGGTCTTTTTTCCTCCATAGTGAGTCACACACTACTAGGAAGCTGGCAGACAGGGGTGATAGAACTCAATCGTACATTTTAGTTTTAAATAAACATTCTTGTTTGTGGTTTTTCTTAGCATTGCATTGCTTTACTGAAAAATATGTGTCGATGTAACTACATGTATTTATTCTTAAATGTATTTGTTATTCTTATGACTCAATCTTTTATAAAATTGTTATTGCATATATCCAAAAACTATGTGGTTAAATGACTGTACTTTTCTTTGTAGTTCCCAAAACCTAAGAACTTATCTATTGGTTCTTTTCCTATCAAACTACTATTTTTGAAGGCGGGGGGGTTGGTTTCACAGAATAGGAAGTATTTTCCTTTGTATCTGAGTGCAAAAATGTAGGCCAGGAGAGAGAGCAGGGAAGTTTCTGCATTGAAAGGTAGACAAGTATTAATCATTTTTCATGAACTTTTCTTGATAGGGTCGAGACTGCAGCATACCTATTAATGCTTGTATTCAGAATCCATGCCAGAATGGGGGAACTTGCCACCTGACTGACACAAATCAAGATGGATTCAGGTAACTGAGAAGCAAACTACATTTAACAGCAACATAATGGATAGAGCAACTTTCTTTATATTGTTGTGAAACAGAAAATGCCACCATGCAGACATGCTCCATAACAGAAAATCACCAAGTCAGAATTATTAAATTATGGCATTGTCTAAGCAAAGCTAAGCATTTAGTCCCATTAATTTGAATGTAAGAGTCAAAGCACATGCTTGAATCCATCTTCCATTTAAAACAATAGACTTTTAAAAGCACTAAATGCGGGATGTACCATGGCCTTAATTTGGTTTCATTGTGACAAATAGTTTCCACTAAGACAAGCAACCATATTTTCCTCTTAATGCATTATAGTGTTTCATGTCAGTCATAGTAAACTATCTTTGAAGTATTCAAAACCAATTGTAATGGCTCTTCTGTCTACCCAATATCATGTGTTTCTTTGTAAGGAGTTGCAAAACATTTTGTTTCTACTTTAGTCACATAATCAAATATATTTCATTATGATCAGGTGTTGAACTTATAGATGCCAATGTAGAACATCTATCTAAAGCTCCTATATGAACTTTGCAGGAAAATATTGTTTGCTTTATAATGACATTGAGAACCCTAAATTCTTTTCTAGCTTGGAGCAGAACCTAAACTCTAGAAATATTTTAGGTTCACCAGTAATCCTTGCAGTCCAGCTCCCTGTCCTTTAAACTGTGCTCAACAACCAAACTAGTAGTAATAGCTGTGGCTCTGTTGCTTTGAACTGAAAGGATGTGGAGAAGGGTCTAGTGCCTGGAGCACTGCAGGACAAAATGAACCAATGTCCTAAGGAAATGTATTTTCCTCCAAAAGCTGTCGTAATATTGCAAGTATGACTTTAAGTTGGGAATGGAGGTGAATGTGTTTGTTATGGGGCAGTCCACTGGAGGAATGGCTTTGACTTGACTTGTAAATGAGCCAAACCATTTTCCAATTTCTCTGCAAATGGCTCCACTCATTTCCAGTAGTATCCAGTAGAGACCATTATGGCCTTGACCCAAACTTAGATATTTGAACTACTGATAAACTCTTATTGAGAGAGAAACATGTGAATAACTGAAAAAAATGTGAGGTGATGGCAAGGCTTAGAGATAGAAGCCAAAAGAATGGAAAGGGGGCTTAACCATACATTTTCTCTCATGTATGAAAAAGCCACTGATGACATGATTTTGTGCAGAAAAATGACCCTGCATCCCTCACCCTACTTTATTTAGTAGTGGATGAAGTGCATTCTCATGGTGGTGTTGAATTGCAGATCTCTGCATCCTTAATCAGTTGCTATATGGATTAGAAGAACTGCTTGAAACTTATGTCTAGTAAGTAAGTAATAGACTGCTTTTCACTGTTTTCCTATTACTGCCCCACCACTATGCCTTCTATCAAACTTACAGTCTCCCCAAGAGTCTTTCCATTTTCTTGATCTTGGAGGCATCTCCTCCATAACATCTAATTTTGTGCTGGATCCAACAGTCAGAAAACATTCTAGGTCACCTCCCCCTACTCCACTGACCCTCACTAAATAAAATATAGCTCCTGCTGGCAAATGAAAGAATTACATTCCTTCAAACCTTATGCAACAGGATGAGAGACTATTCTCTCATGTAACATGATGTGTATGAAATGTGATAAGGAGAAGGGCCTCTTGGTCTGTTTTGTTGTGTGGTCTGTGAAAGAAATTATATCTTCCATAGGTTTTTCCCTCCTACCAGAGAAACATATTAATGCACAAGCTCAGCTGCCAAACTTGTCAAATCTTTACTCATGTAAAGGGAAATATAAGCCAAAGCGTTCCTCCATATGAAATGCCAAGTGATTTAACTCCCGTATTCCTGCAGTCACAGACAAGAAAAATTATCTTATAAGTAATGGTGAGGTGGTGACATAAGCCAGGAAATTCACCCTGTTATGACTGAAACTCCATCCTCACACCCTTCCTTCTCCTGCTGTGCCTAGGTAGCATGAGAGGCTCAAACAGCAGGTGACTCAATTTCTCATATTTACTGTGGTAACACACTGCCACAACAGTGTCAGCAGAGGGCATGGGATCAGATGGAGCTCTTAAAACAAAACCTCTTTCAGGCATTTAACTGTAAACAATTTAATCCAAGGTTGTGTTTTCTCTTGAAGCAGTTGCCTTTTCCCCTCCACCTTTTGGTACAAAAATATTGCTTACTCTTCACAAATTAAGAGACAAAACCTAAGTTGGATATCTCCATTCTACCATTTATATTTCCATTTTCTCAAGACTAAGCTTTTAGTGGCTGATATTTCCGATACTGTTCTTTTCGTGTGTGACTGCTATGTGCCATCCAGTCAGTTTTTCAACCCTATGAATGACAGATTCTCAAAAGAAGTTGGTAGTTTATTTATTCATTTAAAGCATTTATACCTGTCCTTCTCAACCTCTGAAGAGGGACAGGATGGCTTCCAACAGGCAACCTCCTGTAATGCAACCTTCTTTTCCCACTTTCTTCTAGTGTACTAAGCATTTCCAATTAGTCATGTTGTTTTGTTATATGTCAAAAGTCGGATTCCAGTATTACCTATTTTATTTGTTATATTTTGGTATATGTTTTTATGTTACATGGCTGTAGGGCTTCACTGCATCCTACATGCTGAGGAATAAAATTTTAAAATTACAAGTAGTATAAACTGAATATATAATAATAAGGAATAATGGTGGGAAAAACATTAGGCTTGTTCTTCTTTGTATTAGAATCTTTATTGCTTACTAGTGGTCTGTAAGAAGAATGATTAGATAACAAATCCCACCTTCTACTCAACATTATTGACAAAATGATGCTCATTAGAAGAGTATTGGATAAAACCAGAATTAGGTTTTGTATCTTGCTTATATCAAAGGTAAAGGCATGTATGCAACAAATCTACTGAAAGAAATAGGATTTGACAATTAACTAGATCATTCCCATTGTGATATTGCCATTATAGCTAACTGGAGATATTATTTCTGTAAATAAAATGTGTTTATCTACAATACATTCTGCCTTTTCCCTCCAAGAATGCAAAGCTCACCTAAGAAAATATAGTTTTTAAATGAAACCTAAACTGATAGATTATTCAGTTCCATTTTTGATGTTCCATAACTGACAGATGAGTTCAGCATTTATGTACTATTGACCGGTTGACAAGCAGGTGTGCAAGGGAAGGGGAAATGTTAGCCAAAGGGCCTTAAAACAATTACTAGGACTGGGGAAGATCTATTTTGAACACAGCAGATGATTTGTAAATTGCAGTACATCTGGCCAGCATTCATTTCATCCAAATACTAAATCACTTGATCAGAGCATACGGTTTTAATGTAGTACTTGCAACACAACCACTTGTACATAAAACATCCCACCAAAAAAGTACTTCTAAAATATCCCTACACACTGTGCACATGTTGAGACCTATATTTCTTTCTGAAAAAATAATTCTTCTCTAATATCTTCAAGTCCTATGGTTTGACCTCTTTCCTATATATTATGGCAGCATGGCTATTGCTTAAAACCAGAAGATCACACTGATGTCATCACACAGATATAGAGCATATAGTTGTGCAATTTAACCAATTATCACGAAGAGCTGAGACATACGAGTAAAATACGATATTATCTGTAGCATGTTACTTTTTTCAATAACAAGGAAACGGCAATGTGCTGTTGCTGTTGTTTTCAAAATAGTACTTAGTAGTTTTAACTTGCAACTCTTAAAAATTGTTTTAGGGATTTGGCCATTTTATTTTTATAAGAGTATTTTTTTAAAACCACAGGAAAAATAACTAAAATTAATACTCTTTAAATAATGAGAAACATTAGCACGTTATTTCATTTCAAGTGGAAACTAACAAGTAACACATTACTTTATTAAAATAATACTTCCAATTCTTTTATAATCATACAGTACCAACAGACACGCTTTGAAAAGAAAGATGCATAGTCATAGAGTATAGTGTAATTATCCTTATTGCTAGCAAAAGGTTATGTAGGCAACAGTTTGCTGCATTAGATAAACCCACTGTTTTACTGAGTCCTGTGTAATGTAGGCCTTGCAAACCTAACTCTTCCTTTTACCAGAATAATTTTGCATGGCTTGTAACTGCACCCAGCCTATCTTCCCCAGATGGGTTGAGTGCAGGAATGATTCTATGAATGGTTCAAATATGCAAATTTGTATGAAAATAACACTGAAATAAGAAGAAGAAGAAGAAGAAGAAGAAGAAGAAGCAGAAGAAGAAGCAGAAGAAGAAGCAGAAGCAGAAGCAGAAGTTTCTACCCCACCTCCATCTCCCCAAGGGGACTCGGGGCGGCTTACATGGGGCCAAGCCCAAAGCAGAATACAATTAAAAGCAAAGCAATAACAATTAAGACAGTATAAAACAGCATAAAAACAGTGTAACAATAATAGCAAGCAACAGCAATAACAGCAGACTAATTTTGGAGGGGGGGGGAGAAGACCACTATGCGAACTGGTTAAAGGTTAAGGTTCAATAAGGTAGATAACAATGTGTAATAGCATAGGAAACATCATGAAAACAGAGCAAAATTAACAGGATCAGAATCAATTCAGTTAATGTCATATAGGAAATCAGATTAAATGACAATTTAGGTATGTTACAGGTCTTTTGTCATAGGAGTCATCAATCAAAAGCACGACGAAACATCCACATCTTTAATTCCTTACGGAAAATGGTTAGGGAGGGTGCCAGTCTAATCTCCCTGGGGAGGGAATTCCAGAGACGGGGGCCACCACCGAGAATGCCCTCTCTCTCATCCCCACCAACTGCGCCTGAGATGGGGTGGGAACGAGAAAAGGGCATCCCCGGAAGATCTTAAAGACCATGTGGGCTCTATTGGAAGTCCCCAGTGTCAAGACCTTGCGTCTAACGGCAACCAGACGCAGAGCCTTCACAGCAGTGGCGCCATCAGTCTGGAATGCTCTGCCACCTGAAGTTCGTGCCCTGCAGGACTTACCAGCTTTCC